TAAAGAGAAAAGAAGCCGCGAAAAAATCCGCAATAATTATGCATCAACCTAATATTTCCCAGTGTACCATAATTTAAGGAAAATATGCAATCCTAGCTATGTTCGAAAAATCGTTCCGCAGGTTTGGGAGTACGTCCTTGCTTGCGTTCCTCTTTCAGAGTTCATCCAAACTTATGGTTTTTCCTAGTCAGCGAAGTACCTTCGCGAGAATATATGTCAATCAAAGCAGGAGCGTTGTGACTGTGCTATATGTTTGTTTTCGCAATTCAAATTATTTATAGATGGAACAACTAGAACTGGCTATGCAGCTGATTTTTGTGCCATCAATTTTGGTGATCTCTGCAGTGTGCTATATTCGAATAAAAAGGTTCTTTCGCAGTAACAGTGGATACACAGCGAAAGTAAAGCAAATGCAGGCTAGATTCTCAACCAGCGTTTTGCTTGAGGTAATTCTATGTGTATGAAGAATTTGTTGAAAAGGTGGGTCTTCGGTTTAGAGACGCCGTCGTGTTGGACGATGTGTATAACACATCCTATAGCTTTAGAAAGGAAATGCCTGGCAAGGGAATGGTGAGAGAGGGCCTAGGGTGAGATTAGGGGCAGAAAAATAATACATGTCGATGGGACTATCTCCTATCTGAAGTATGCTACTGGTTAACGATCCTGAAACATGGGCCCGGGACTCAATTGGATTACGGATTATGTATATGGAAACGAACTTGAGTCACGGATTGTCCTCGCAATAAGAAGATAAAGTCGCACCTGCCGAAACGATGCGACGAGATATCTCACTATGACGACGAGATATCTCACTATGACATTTTGGCTCGCGAGAGCCAGTAATGTCTCTATTCGTCCCTAAGGTGAGCCAGAGTGGTCCAGTGGATCGTCCTCGCTTGAGGGACACGAGGCGCAACATTCCTTTTGTTCAGAGTTTTCGTGAAGAAGCCTGATCACCGCGCAGGCGGCCGTCCTGGTGTTCATTTAAGATCCCGAGGGATCAAGTCAGTGACCGCCTGGTCCAGCAGTCGTCACGGTATCGCACAACGTGGTCGACCCACCCGATCTTCGATTCCTTGGCGTGATGCCAGATCTTCGCTCGCTAACGTAGCTCGACTTCGAGCATCATCCTTTCCACAGAGCGTTGAATGATGCTGACTGCATGCACATTCTGCCCTCTTAGCGTCCGAGCCTGCGAGACATATCTCCAGTAGGCCTATCTAAAAATCCCACCCAACGGTGCCGTGTTAGAGCTTCCCTCAGGTTCAGGTGAATGAGGCCCATTCGAATTACTGATTTTGGCGTATGGATACCTCTGAAACCAATTGACAGATCCCGGAGAGACGAAAGGCTTGATTGGTCTAGGCGGACTGGGCTCCGATTCACGAATCGTGAGTGTGTGTTTACACGCCATTTACATCCTTGCAGAAAACCATGAATATCAATAATAACTGATTTAGGGCGTTATTCATGGCGTTCTGGTGCTTTCTGTATTGTTCCTCATACCTCTTAATATACTAGTTGCAGCTGTAACAAATGGAGATTGGAGAAAAGTTATAGGTTTCTCCTTGATTTATGTGATAGTGAGTTTTTACTGCTATATGCTTCCCTAGACGCCCACACCTACATCTACACGACTTGCACAACAGAAACATACTGAGTTGACTTACCAGGTATGGCGAAAAGCAGCCAAAATCTACTTCTAACAGTGGGGCTCTGCTATACCTTTTCGCCATGTGCTTTCAAGGCTCTTGATGCTTCCTTGTAGCCGGCCCTTATTCTTTTGGAGAATAACCATCTCGGAAAAACTGCAAAAAAAAAANTTTCTCAAAGAACCTCTTCTTAGCTGCACATGAAGGAAATCCAGATTGGCTCGAAAAGTAAAGTTTTATTCCAGACGGCTACGCTACTTTTTCGATGGTATTCGGTTGCTGTTGGAGCGCTTATGTTATGGAGTATTTCTGGGTTCCTCAAACAGAAAGAGAGCCGTCCACGGAATGTGTCAATAATGGTCTTCGTATCACGACGTTTGTGGCGGAATGAAATGTAATGGATCAGCACTGTAGCTGTATAGCTTAAAATGTTATTTCCGTTCTCGAAATCTCTTGAGATTTTACACAGTGAACGTCGTTGAAGTTCTAAATTTCTAGATCAGGCCTTTCAACTAAGCTCCCTGAGTCTAATAAATGATCTTGGTTTCGGGGTTCCTAAGGTAATCGTGTTTGAAGTCAGCATTCTGCAGAAGGCCTTCTATAACGAGCATTATTGAATCTGGGACATACGAAAAGCATCACCGCATTCCGATTACTTGACGATAGCCCTGCAAGAAACCAACTGTCCCCCAGTCAACGCGTTCCTGGACGGTATTCGAACCAGTTTTGAATGAATGGAGATTGTTTCCGAGCACAGTAGTGCCCTTACTCAGTTTTTCTTGAGGAGTAAAATAGAAGCTGCCTTCTGTTTCGAAATTGATCCAAGCTCTGGAGCGACGTTTTTACCATGGCTTGGTCCCACCCTGGATATCCGAACCACTTCAATCATTCTACATTTTCTTGGAAAAACAGCGAAGTTGCGATGGGCGAATGTGGTCAATTATCGAAAAATACCATGCATTGGCTAGAAAAAAACTCTGATGTTCATTCTCATATTTGAACTCACACGGGGATTCAATTTTACCCTACGCCCTGATTTTCTGAATGATATGTATATACGGCAAAAAATTTCAAGCAATTCACAATAACATAAAATAAAATAAATGTGTGTGTGATCACCTTTGAGGTAAAATCCAAGACGAAGCGGAACGTTTCACGTACGTATAATAATGCGCTACGCTTCGAATTTGCCAATTCTTCCTATTCTTTATAAGTCCACACATGATCGGCTTTATTTGCACGGAAACCTCGAACTTCGTCCAGCTATTTCTGAGAAATTAAAACACTAACCGAATTCGCAGGAATCAGTCGTTCCCGATTTCAAAACATACGAAAGGAGTTCACCTGACCGCTCAACGCCGCTCTTTTCAGTGGCGAGAAATTGGTAAAATGAAGAGCTTTGTTTAACGGTACCTTGATCCTATGTACTAGTAATTTAAAGCTGTAGAACAGCCAGCTCCAAGCTTTCTTGCTGACCTCCTTGTCACTAATAATCGTTGCTCCTACTAAGGTCTACCGTAACATCACTTGAACCCTTGATGAAGGGGTAGCTGAAACTAATATAGCTTCTACGCTAAGTGTCATTAATCTGTAGTAATATTCCTACTGCACAAAGACCCAAAAAAAATGTCCAAAAGCTTCGGAATATTATACGCAGGATAGTTACGCATCCGCATTACGGTATGTTTTATAAGAAGAAAAAAAGATGAAAATAAATAGCTCGCTTTTGCGTCGATAGCTTGAAGTTCTCGCGAAATGCTCCCTACGCTTGTCTGAGAAATCTCCCAGAAAAGAGTTTGACTAGGGACGTATCATTACGGCAAGCGTTCAGGAAGTGACTTTCGGAAGTTTTTTCTCGGAAGGTGGAGTGCTGCTTATTCCCACCACAGTGATCATACTATTCAGTACTGTTTGCAGGTTTTTGAAGCTGCTCTAGTTAGGGGTTGTAAAATGTCAGACCGGCCCTATTTATTTCCTGACGATTTAATTCAATGCGTAGATGTTGAGGCTTATCGAGGAGAAACCGGCTTTTATTCCAGGCATTTCATTGCCACAACCAAGCTTATCCAGGCTTCTATCAATCCAACTTCTTTCTAATTTTCAATGTTCAATGGGTTTTTCAAAATATAATACTCAAGATCAGACAGATGAGCGGCCATTCTCTCGTTGCAGCTGATTTCAGTCAGGCAAAGGCTGATAGACGGCAGGTGCAAGCATCGACTTTGCCAATTCCCGATCCTCCCACCTATAGGGACCAAAAGTTGTCAAATCAAGATTAAATACCAAATTAATAGGCCCAGTCCAAAGCAGTCTTAAAACAAGAAATACTTACCATTCCTCTCTGTCCATAAAAGGTCATAGAATTTTGGATGAAATCCTTGAATCCCTAACCCTAACGGCTTCCTTGGGTTTCAAATCTGCTTGTAGAAAATACAATTTTATCACTGATCACTTAACGTATTACCGTGCGGTTAGTAGTTGGACCTTACAAGGGTGGCTAATCGGCAATAGCTATCCCACATAAGAAACTTCGTATATGAAGTTGACGAATCAAAAACCATCACCTATGACGCGCCATATGACTAAGTGTCTGTCGTAATTATCGCCGCTGGTCAGAAGTTAAAAGTCTAGTATGTACGTCCGTCAAAGCTCCAGTATGCCTCAATGCTTTCCACAGCCTATTAGATACTCCCTTCCTCAGGATCTTTACTATTTTATCTGTAATAAAGCCTTAACACTACAATGCTTTTCCAACCAGAATCGCAAGGGTGTTCAAAGGCACAGTTTACGACAAAAATGGTTTCTAACATTTCACCATAGTATGATTTCGAGACCCCTTATACCATACCCGCCGGCGGTTATAAGGTCAAAAAACGTCCTAGATAGGGCACGACAAAGGGCCGGAAGCTACATCGTGTGAATGCCGCACCCCTCCCTTAGGTTGACTATGAAACCTATCGGCCGGCGCCACTTTTCGTATTGCAGCAACTTTGGTGACAAATCAATCAGTTGGTTGGCCTAGCGTAAGTTATCATATTCCAGATTATTTTCTTATTGCACTACTGCTCCTTGTGAATAATATTGACTGAATACCTGTCTGTTAGAGTAGCAGAAAGTGGGGAGTAGTGCAGAAAAAACCACCTATGCCAGGATCATCGGCTGGTTGGAAAACAATTTTGAACATTTTTAGCTTAATATAGTTAGCTGTCCGCGAAGACACCGAATAATCGCTTCCTAATGAGTTGGCTTGTGCTGAAAGCCTAAATTAATAATTTGGATACGATTGCTACGCCCTATCTAAAGACAAGACAGTAACTGACGCCTAGAGATCACCAGCAAAACACATTTTGGTGGCTACATTCCAGCTCATCTGCTTACTTTCTGTATATTGTCCAATTTGTCCATTTGAACTCAACTTTGATCTTCGAATTGAGNTTTTTTTTTTCAAACAAATCAAGCAAACCTTCGCATCACTTTAAAGTGAGGAAAAAAGTGTGATGGTTTACATTACTTTTGGACTCTTTGGACTTTACTATTATCCATGCTTCACCTGCGCATTTCTGAGATCAAAAAACGTTTCCGGCACGAACTACTTCGATTACAGTCTGTGGTCTTGTTCCGTTTTCAAGAAGAATATGCTTCCAGTTGCTTTCTTCTGCTCATTTAGAATAGCTCCATTTGAAGCTATCACAAAGTGTGATCTGTGATATTTGAATAGTTGAAAAGTGTAAAACGTTTTTCTTACCTCGCTGACCACCACTTTTTCAAAGTCGGAGCTTATGCTATTCTGCCTTAGAAATTTCTGATTGACTTCAAGTAATTTACTTACTCCACGACATAATTTCAGAATGACGAACGTAGTTGCCGAGTAGAACAAAATGGATGTCGAAATGGTGCAGACGATAAATTCTGTTTTGGCTTCAATTTGTGGTTTAACGTTACACTGCTACATCCTATATAAATTATTACGGAATCATTCTTCGTTGAGTCAGTACCAGAATCTGATTGTCGTTCAATCAGCTGTAGGAGCAGTTTATGCGGTAGTACAACTGATAGCTAATGAGGTGAGGATGACAACTTTGTTCGGAGAAACTTCATTTGCTATTTTTTTGAAATGACGTTTTATTCGGGGCGTCGAGGAGTTTCGACTGAATGTGGAGTATGGAGGAATAAGTGCTGCCTGAGATGAAACTAGCCTTTCAACATGCATTTTTCTCAAGCAACTAATGCGCTAATTTTCTTTTACAATGATTTCACCCCAATAATGCCCGGAATATCTAATGTAACACTTCCAAATCGCTTTTCAGAATTCTCTCAATTTTTTTCTCTCAATTTTGATGGATGTTCACCTTTCAGAGACAGGCAATGTCAGGACAACACCTCATGTCCTTTGCTTTTCTCC